GGCCTCGAGGTCTCTCAACTCATTATGCCGTTGGATAACAAAGCCTCCTCGTTTGAAAATCATTGCGTGGTCTGCTGTAAAGTTTTCCCCACACGCACACACTGATGGAATTATTATCATTATTATTGTTATTATTATTATTATTATTATTATTATTTTCGTCATTATTAGGAATAGTATCTTTGTCATCCTCAGCTTCATTATCATCATCATCATCATCACCATCACCATCATTGTAATCAATTTCATTATTATTAATATCATTATCAACATGATCATCATCATTATTACTATTATTGTCATTATCAATTAAACAGCTCCCAGCTGCTTTAGTCATTTACTTTTGCCATCACAATTAAGTAGGACTGAACTCCCATTTTCCCCTTTTAGTTCAATACGAGTGACTTCGATTAAGTTTATATTCCATTTGATTTTATTGTCATCGAACTGGAAAATCATCGATTGCACTCACAGAGGCTTTTACTTGGATTCAGCCTTTTGCAGTGGTTAACTAATTGGGGCCCAACCAATATATAGCTAAACGGACCCTCTTGATTATAATAGACCGCAGAAAGCTGTGAAAAATAGACAGCCAGTTCTTACTGCGTTTATCTGTTGTTTCAGTGAATCCTTACATTATGTCAAGTCCTAATAAAACACAAGTTCAGCACTTTGGTGAATCTGTTCACTTAAGTTGCTCTGCGGGTGGTACTCCTTTACCGAAAATCCAATGGATCAAGGACGGACGACGAGTAATGTCATCAGCAGAAAATGACAGCAATAGTTTGATACGGAGTGAACTCGTCATTCATCAGTTCAAGCAGAGCGATGCTGGGAACTACACATGTCTATTTTATAATGACAAGAATGCTACAGCCGAAGCTAATACAGTTTTAGGTAAGTAAGTAAAATATTTACACAGGGGAATATGAAATATTCACCACCATAAATAGAAAAGTAACAGCTTTCCTTTGGTGCGAAGTATCCTCTGATCTTTTTTTGCATTCATTATCTGTTCCGGTAAGAAACCAAACTTTCGATTGCGAAGCTCGAGGAGAACTGTGAGAGCTAACGATTAAGTTAGCGATTCTTCTTTGTCTTTTTAGGCTTATTCAGTTGTGACAATCCTGGTTCTCCGATTAATGGACAAAAGCATGGCTCGCGCTACTGGACAGGAGAATCTGTTTCCTTTACATGTATGCCGGGATATCGGCTCATTGGGCCGTCCGTGAGATTATGTCTTCCTTCCGGTCAATGGAGTGGAGTACAGCCGTCATGTAAGCGCTGCGATCCGCCTGCACTCTGCAGAATTTTATAACGTTCTAGCTACGACTGGTAAAACCACGAACTTGTGGTTTACTTTGGGGTCCTTTTTTGGTTTTCCTATAGGTCACAGAGTTTGTCCCCCTCTGAAGAAACTGCAAAATGGCTTTATTTATGGACAGCAAAACTGGGAAGGGGAACGTATTTCATTCAGTTGTAGGCCAGGCTACTGGCTAAAGGGACCATCCGAACGTCACTGCTTGGGTAATGGGTCATGGACAGGAGAGATGCCAATTTGCACGCTTGGTGAGATATTCTATAGATAAACAGCAGGCAGCTGTTGTGTGTAATCAATTTATTCATTTCTCTACTGATCATTCATCTGAATGAGAAAAAGAACTTCAAAATTAAATTTCATTTTTCTTTGACCTTAGTAGCGCTAGGCAATACCTACACTCTGTATTTCCCGCGAAAAGGAACCAGCGATCATGTCATCTCAAGAAAAATGCCAAGCCTTACAGTTTGAGCTCATTATCTGTTCCTAACAATTAAGTTAAGGATTTTTCTTTGTCTTTTTAGCCTCAAACAATTGTGGCAATCCTGGTTCACCGATTAATGGACAAAAGCATGGCTCGCGCTACTGGACAGGAGAATCTGTTTCCTTCACATGCATGTCAGGATATCGGCTTATCGGGTCCTCCGTGAGATTATGTCTTCCTTCCGGTCAATGGAGTGGAGTACAGCCTTCATGTAAGCGCTGCTAACCGCCTGAATTCTGTAGCATTTTACAAAGTTCTATCTACGACTGGTAAAACTGCACATTTATGGTTTACTTTAGGGCCCTTTCTTGGTTTTCCTGTAGGTCACAGAGTTTGTCCCCCACTGAGGAAACTGCAAAATGGCTTTATTTATGGACAGCAAAACTGGGAAGGTGAACGCCTTTCATTCAGTTGTAGGCCAGGCTACTGGCTAAAGGGACCATCCGAACGTCACTGCTTGGGTAATGGCTTATGGACAGGGAAGATGCCAACTTGTCAATTTGGTGAGATATTCTATGGGTAAACAGCAGGCATCTGCTGTGTGTAATCAATTCATTTATTTCTCTACTGATTATTCATCCGAATGAAAAAAAGAACTTCAAAATTTCATTTTTCTATGACCTTAGTGGCGCCTGGCAATACCTACGCTCTGTATTTTCCGCGAAAAGGAACCAGCGATTATGTCATCTCAAGAAAAATGCCGAGCCTTAATGCTCTGACAGTGTGCTTGTGGATGAAAATAACTGCAGGAAGCAACGGATGCCCGCTGAGCTATGCTGTTTCTGCTGAAGACAACGAACTGATTCTTCATCACTATTCAAGGTTTTATATATATGTAGGAGGCTCAATCAGGTAAAGGTAACGTCATTTGATAACGGCAGTTTGGTTCAAATATCGAGTATTAAAGGTCTAAGTAGATGCGGTAGATGCTCCGCTTAAAATTTCACCGCTGAGCAACTTGAAAGCACGTGCAGGTTATATTGATATTGTGAGCTTGAGTTCGCGTACCCTTTACCACCGGTATGAAATTAAAAACTTGTTAAATAAGTGTCAATAGAAAATGTTTATCAAGCCGATCAGTGACAATTGTTCATCCTTGCTTCTCTTTAGTCGTACCTCTGTATCAGCAAATGATGGCAACTGGCATCACATTTGTATGACGTGGGAGAGTAGTGCTGGATCGTGGCAATTGTTCAAGGATGGTCGGATTGCCGCTTCTGGTCGCGGCCTGGCGAAAGGTAAACACCTCTGCCATCGCTAAGTAAAACTTACTTTTTATCGCTGCTTCTTCGAGCACCTCTTAACTTACATTCAGGCCTCGTCCACACTAATCCGCTTTCAAACGAAAACGGAGCTGTTTTGCTCCGGATACGGCTATCGTCCGTACTACAACGCCGAAAATGATCACCGAAAACGGAGCCATTCGAAAACGCTCTCCAGAGTGGAGCGATTTGAAAACAATACTTTTTGAAAACGCTGTTTTCTAGCGTGGACGGACAAAACGATGCTTCAGACCAGCTGCTTAATGTTACATAGCAGTTTCATTTGTTTTATTGTTTCTGAAAGCGTGACATTAGTTCGAAATCTGTATAATTTCTTTCCATTAGGTCACTGTATCCGCGGAGGTGGGCTCCTGGTATTAGGACAAGAGCAAGACTCACTGGGAGGAAGTTTTGACGCAAGGCAAAGTTTCATTGGTGAACTGACAGGTGTTAACGTTTGGAGTCGCGTGATAAGAAATAATGAGATCACGCGCTTGTCTCGGGCGTGCATGACAGGGGAGGGGGACATCCTTCAATGGCACAACTTTAAAGCTGATGTGCGAGGCTCAGTGCAGTTAATTTACCCGACCTGCTAAAGTTCCAACTCCAAGGGAGATTAACAGTATGCGGGCGAAACCTACGTCGCGATCCCCAGCGATAATGACTCCACTGTTTGTCTGTCTTTTTTTTTTCTCCTCCATTTTAACAAATCTAGAAGGACATAACATAGTTAGCTAATTAGATGCCCTTTAAATGAAATCACAATTTTTTTCCAGAAAAATACAATGATAAAAGAGAAAAGGTATAATCAAACCACAAATTAGTAACAGATAGTACACAGCCAATGTAGGTAAAATCTTTACTGCGTCTCCCACACGGTCAAAGTAGAACAGTATTTAATACTGAGAGAAGTAGAAGTGCTCTTTAAAATAGTTTCCAAAATACTCCCACAACATTGCTTTATAGGGGAAATGTATGTGGAGTGTTTTTATAAGGCTTGCGATTAAGGTGAAAGCTATTTTTTATGATTTTTGTCACTATTACTATTTTCTGCTGCATATGACTGAATATACTTAAAATAATAAAAAATATATCATCACTGATAATAAAAAATTGAAGTTGATTATTTATTTTCTTTTGCTGTTCTTCTTTTTGTATTTTTTTACGTTTATTTGTCCACTCAGACATTTGACATTTCGTGCTACGTTATACTTACCTCTACATTTGCAGAACGAAAATGAACAAGCGTTTTTAAAGATAACATGTTACTTTTCGAAAGAATAAAAGAGCTTTTAAGTTTTGAGCTCGGTAAAGATATAGAGAAAGATGTTTTTCGTCTCAGGGGTCACGCACCGCGTGGGACAAAGATTATCTTTTACGTTCCCATGAGGACTCAGAAATTTTTCTTTGTCTCACACGCGTGAGTAGACGACGAACATCTTTCTATTCACATATTTCTTCTTTGCAATCAATTGTTCGATTGAAATATTTTGCTAAAGTAATGTATTTCTCGCCTTTCTGTATTACCATGCATGTGCGCCAAAACTCTTCCGACTCGCCACATTTATTGTTTGACGTATCGTCTCCTTTGTTGCTTGATCTCTTCACAAAGACTGAATAACGTAACTGCCCAGTTACGTTGTGGTCGAGCCCATTTTTCTTCCATTCCTTGCACAAAGCTTATTCCGTATTCTTAAATATGTCAAACGCTCAATAAATCTAAGTTTATGGCATTAATTTAACAGAGGGTTTCTTTTAGTTTTTAAACAGTTGGAGTTGTTGCCCTGAATAAGCTGTAAAAGAAGTCAAGTTACATGTATTCTTCTGCGCTTTTGGCTTTATTACTTGCACTTCTTCGTTGCACTCAGATTACAGGGTCCAACAATATCATAACTCAACCCGAATAAAGCTTTTGCTACAAGAAATTTTAACAATCGGAAAGGAGTACTGGACTTATGAATGGCCATGGACTGCGCGATTCCAGAGAATCTTTGTGCAGAGTTTCTTATGAAAAAACTGTCGTCAGTATGTATAGTAAGCTTAGTAATGCGTACTTCACTTTGACCAGCGAATGAGACGCTCTAACAGATTAATGAAGAGATGATTCGAACCTCTGAAGTTTTACATTTGTTTCAAAACTCCAACTTAAGGCATGGGGGTCGGGGTCGCTCCATTCGCTCCATTCAACTCGTACTGCCTTGTTGGACGCCACAAACAATTGGGACTTTCAACATTGATAAAAGCAGTATAAATTCAGTTTTTTTCTCGACCTAAGAAAGGCTTTTGATACCGTTGACAATACAATTCTTATGTCTAAATTATTCGAATATGGTTTCCGCGGTATTGCTTATGAATGGTTTAGGTCATCCCTAGATAATTGCAATCAACAATGTTTCGTAAATGGTTCACTCTCAATTAGTCAAGTTCTCAGTTGTAGAATTCCGCTGGGAACAATTCTGGGACCTTTGCTTTTTGTTTTATACATAAATGATCTTCCTAATAGACCTTATTCATAAATGGCCGCCGTGCGGAAATGGCCTGGTTTCGAATGCATGAAAGCGAGGCTTGGTAAGCCAGAAAACTCTTGGAGAACACATTTGTGACTATAATTTCTCAAATAATATTGTTTAAGTAGTCTAAAGTTTTTGAGGATATTGGCAGGAAAAAGATTTCTTAGTCACTAAACGGGATATCTCTGAGTTAAAGAAAGATTTCCGCGTGAAGAGCCTCAGAGATGCTGTGTCCCGCTCTTTAGTTCATATAAGAACCATACCACTTTAAAGGCATTAGTGGGGATTTCACATAAAAGGGCTTTCACATTTATTTGGCAATCAATGTAAAATGGGGGTTGACAGGCCTACACGACTCCTCAGCCCGTATTTAGAGTAGCCTATTCAAAGTTTGGCTCTAAAGAGCATGTCTTTGAGCGACCGTCCTCTTTTGTAAAATACGAGAAGCGGATTTTTGTATATTTCGTTCAGTAGTGGTTGTGTTTCTATTAAATTCCAGTGTCTCATGAGAATTTGCTTCAGGTTTGGCACTGATGGCTGGTATTGTGTAATAAAAGGCAAGATTCGTTGGTTCGTCTTTTGTTTCTGGTGAAGAGCTAATTTCCTGTTTTTTAATTCACTTCTGACAGGGTTGTGCTAATGAGGTCCTCTGGATAGCCTCTCTTTAGCAAATGCGCTTCATTTGTAATTTTCTCCTCGAATATTGTTTGAGAGGAGTTTATTCTTAGAAGTCTAAGGGTCTCCCCTTTTAGGAAGTCTTTTTTTAATTCTTTGTGGGTGACAGGAACTATAGTGTGTATACTGAAATGTCTCAGTTTGTTTAAAAGAGTACGCACATCGGGGATTGCGTCTTTTTCGAATCGTTCGCCTTTGTAGATGTACAGCGATTTTTTTTCACTGTCTCAATCGTTAAGTTGTCTTGATTGCTTTCAGCTTGCGCCACGCGCGTCGATTCGATCGCACTACAGTTCTTAGTGTTCAGTGTTCCAGCCGTTTTGGCTCGTTTTCGTTTCTTTCTTTCGGTCGTAGAACGACCGATTTTACGTTCATAGAAGCACATGATCACCTTTACTGTTTCTTGCTCCGTGTTGTTAAGGATTTGCTTTATCTCATTTTTTAAATCCTCGTCTGCTCTTATTTTGGCCCTCGCCCTATGTTGTAGGGATTCTGGGCATGTTCTGCTACGCATTTGGTACAGAGGGATTTGTTCGTTATCCTCAGACTTATCGAGTAGATCATCTTCAGTGGCGTTGTCATATGAGGCTTCCATGTTTTCTTCATTATCTGAATGGCATTCTTTTGGCCCGGGGCTTTTAGTAGCCCATCTGCCGTTTTAATGTCTTCCGAAATTTTCAGTGTATGGTCAGGCAAGACCGTGGTTTCGATCCTAATCTTGTGGCTCTCGTCAGTTGCCGATTAACTAACTAGACTGGTAGAGATTCGCTCTCGGTATATCGTGCATAGGAATATCGTCTTCTGTGAGTATCGCGCGCGCAGTTCCATCAGAAGATCTGTGAGACGGTATTGTGGTTTTGTTTTGATTTGTGAACCTTGGCCTACTAAGCCTCGCTTTCATGTATTCGAAACCAGGCCGTCTCCGCGCGGCGGCCATTTATGAATAAGGTCTATTGCCTGTCTAATTCAGTTGCACGTATGTATGCCGACGATACTCACCTGACCTTTGCCAGCAACAATATAGAAATGAACAATGATGTTATGAATCACGACCTCACCAATATTAATACATGGCTCACTGCAAACAAATTGACTCTAAATTCATCTTAAACTGAATTAATTGGATCGCGGCAAGGATGGGTACTTACGATACTTCCCCTAAACTAGTCAAAGGTGGTGACATAATTAAACAAGTTAGCTCGGTTAAATCTTTGGGTGTGCATATAGGCGAAAACCTTTCATGGAATATGCACATTGACAAAATAGCCAAGAAAATCGCATCGGGCATTGGAGGAATTAAACGTTGTAGGCCTTTTGTTAACCGAACCACGCTTTTGAGTCCGTTTTCAATGCCTTAGTTCAACCGTACTTTAATTACTGCAGCGAGTTCTGGGAGCATTGTAACAAGGGTCTTTCGAATAAGCTCCAAAAGTTGCAAAACCGGGCTGCCCCTATTCTGACCTTCTCCAGTTATGACACAAGCGCTGATCCTCTTTTTGAGCAACTTAACTGGAGACGGTTAGATACTCAGCGACAAATACAAGGGGCCACTATGGTCTCTAAATCTATACATGTTCTTGCACCCGACTATCTTGGTTCTCTTTTCACTAAATATGATCCTCCTTATAATCTAAGGAACTCTGGAAACAAACTAGCTGTTCCATTGCCCCCCACCAATTGCTTGAAAAATAGCTTTAGCTATAACGGTGCGGTTATCTGGAATAGATTGTCCCCTGAATTGCGGCAAGCAAAATCACTTTAACCTTTTCGAAATGGTTGTCGCGATTTCTTCGTCTGAATCGACAAAACGCACACGGCATCTATGTGAAGCAGAATTTATTTATTTTTTCTATATCACTTTTAAATTTTAGATCATGTTTATATATATTTAAGTAGAATGTAATTGTAATAATACATTGTAATAATGTTATTCTTTTATCTGATAGATTTACCGTGTCTAAATAAAAATAAAGTTCAAGTTCAAGGCTCGATTACTCCTTACAATTACGTGTGACTTAGCCTGCATATTAACGATGAAAGTTGATAATGAAGTTCACTTTTTCGTCATAATATCTATTTTCTTTTACATAGTTACAACGTTACAAAGTTGTAGATGTATTTTGAGGAGGCACTCTAAAGGGAACCATTCGTTGTAATTACAATTTTTAGATACAAGTTATGACCCTCATATGCGCAAGTAGTTCCTTAGGGTCATTTCGTTGTCTTCTAAGTCAGTGATACTTCTTGATTTTCTCGGCTTGCGCTTCAGTTCCACAGATAAGCGATCACCGCTATTAGCCTTGGTCTAGTATGCCGTTGCTTGGCATGCCATAAGTGATGACGCAGTCACTGGTATCATTTTGCAAAAAGCAAAACCTATCTAAAAAATAATGAGATGAATAAAAAAAAAATGAATGGATGCTTCATATACTCCTCGCTGTCTGTTTCACTCCTTTTTCCCCAAAAATTATCATGCTTAGAAAAAAGGTTAACCCCACGCGCGGTACGTTTGCGTAAACGCTACCGGGGTACTCTTCGTTCCTTTACCTCGTCTCCTTGTACTGACCCAAGGCCTGAAACAAGCTATCAAAAAGAACACAATATTTTTATTAGGACTCCCCAATGGAAAGGTTCTGGCCTAACTACATAGACAACAATTATTTAAAAAAGATTAATGGGAACGATATTAAACTTTACCTGACCTGTGTTGAAACAATGATAAGCAAGATGTCAACTGCCTATCTCTAAGTCTAAATGCATGAGATAACGGAAGAGGCTTGGCAATTTTATCATAAAATTTCATTGACATGAATAGGTGTTGATCTAAAAGGTCAACATCATGTGACAACATAACTGCTGGCAGAAACTCAGAACGGAGGTCAACAAGGTTTCTGTTTCAACAAGAGATGTTTTCAAACATGGAGACCAAAACTGTGAAGCGCTCGAACCTTCTCCGTCATGGCTTTTCACTTCATTTGGTTCTTACCTTGGGTTCAATTGGTTTTACATGTTACTCATTGAACCGACTGGACAGCCGTTTAACAGCTATTGAGCAGAATTTGATGTTGAAAAGCATTCCATATCGGCATGAAAATGGTGTGACTGTTAAAACCACATCTTCGAACGCGCTAGGACGTGGATCGAAGACGAATGACCAAATCGTCAAAAGAGATATTTCTTCTCCATCCATCTGTGGCAAGTGTAGAAGTGTTTGTTCCAACTTGAATCAACAGCAAAATGTGGGTTATTTTTCCTTACTATTATTAGTGATCATGTTTATATGTAACTGTGGTCTATAATCACCGCACAAACAACATGTCACTAATTCAAATGATAATTTTTACTCGCAGTGTCATACACAAAAAACTGAACTGCCTCCTCTGTGATACTTAAAACTTCTTTTGGTCGTTTGCGGGCAACTTGTTTCCAATTTTGGATTTTTATGTCTACCTAAGGAATCCGTCACTATTGATCGCATGGGAAGAGAAATATTTTTTTTGGGGGGGGGAGCGGATCGCATGGTTTTCAGGGGGGTAACGGAGAGGGGGATTCAAAGGAAAGACCAAAGAACAATTGGCTGCCAATTAAGAACCAATAAGGGGGAGGGGATCCATAAGAATACAAAAATGGAGAGGGGGTGAGGGGAGTCAGGTATATTTTATCGTGACACAATCGGAATCTTCCAAGCCCCAGGCGACGAATAATGACCAGTCTAAGAGAGTCTCAATTGAGAAGGGCGGAGGGAGTGTCAAGTTGACGGTTGACGGTTAAATTTTAGGTCTTTTGACGGTTGACGCTTGAAGGAGCACTCTTATGAAACTTCCCTGTAATTTGGAAACCCGAAAATTCCAAATATTTTTACATTAAAATTTGAAATGTTCACTAGTTCATCGTCTCTGAATTTTTTCCGAATTGTCACACGGGAAGATCGTCAAATTCGCGATTTTCTTTTGACCCACCATTAGTCTACGTAATCAATTGCTAGACTGAAGATAACTGGGGCGAGTTTTGAGCGTGACGTGGATTACTCATTTGACGCGCCGTACTCGTGGCTAATTTTCAAAAACAGTATTTTGATGGTATATATTGCTTTTATAACACCAAGACAAAGACTAAGACTATTTCACTAAATTTCACGACGTTTCCCTATAAATATAAAATGAAGCCATAAGTGTTTTGAGTTATCTACGTCACAATGGGAGTGACTGCTAACCGAAGATAAGTTGGCCGTGATTTCGAAAATTAATGGCGGGACGGTTTTCAAATCGTAATTTCTCGCCCTAGAATTGACTTTCAACTAAAATTATTATTGAAAAGGCTTTATTAATCGCTAAAAATTCATATCATAATGAAATAACTGAATTTTTCGGGTTTTCAAATTATAGGGAAGTTTCATAAGAGTGCTCCTTTAAATTTTACGTCATTTGAAAGGTTGACAGTTAATTTTTTGGAATGTCGTTCATAAAATGAACTAAACGCGCGAATTTCGCTTTAATTTTTCATAACAAGGCGGTTGTAAAGGACTATTAATTTATAGCACCTCTGAATAAATAACTAACGTTTTCTGGCACCGGAAGTCTTTCCTCACCGGAAGTCAGTTCTGTCGCCAACTAGTTGTACTCGCGAGTAGTAGTTAAAGGACTTACATAAATGTATTTTTGTGATATATGAAAACAACAGAACCTGATCCCAATTAAAGCAACCGTTTGGTTCTTAATTAAGGATATTTGAGGCAATTGACGGCTAACATTGGCTTGCTTACCGACGGTTTACGGTAAAAATATTGCGTTTTGACGGTTGACTGTTAATTTGTTGGCCATTTGACGGTTGACGGTTAAACCCACTGAGACCCTCAGTCTAAGGTCAATCTTCGATGGCATAAAAATGTAACGAGACTTTGGGTGTCTAATAAAACAGATTTTTATTTCATAAACACGCATGCTGATCATTTGTTATCCGAAACAACTCATATAACATGAACATCCTGTTCGAGCTTCATTTATTTATTTTTTTCAAGGAGAAAATTAGAAAGGGATAACTGACTTATTTTGTCTCCTATTCACCTTTCATTTGAATTGTAAATAAACAGTTGTGTTATGTTATACGGACCGTCTGTATTCGTGGTGTTTAGTAACTCTATTTGACAGAATGAGATCCACAATGTCATGGCTTTGACGTAATAATTTTGCATGGCCTAGACACAGATTCCGGGAACCGTTTCTGGTCTTGTGGTTTGCCTGGAGCCTCAGTTTAAACGAACACTATTTTTTTTAAATCAACAGAATAAGACACAGGATCAAGGTCATGACAAGATCGTTTGCATGGAAGGTATGTTCATGATGTCTGCATGTGCCTGTTTGGGCAAGTCCCTATTATCACTACTTCGAAAAGAGTTTCGTGATGCCTTGAGCAAATTCGAGCAGGCGGCAACAGGTCAGTAACAGCACTCCAAATAGATACAAAATTGCACGGAAATGGATTCAGATCAATCAGCTTGGTTTCACAGTTTTGATTTGTAATTATTACTTTAATTTCATCAGGTCGCACTGGACCTCAAGGTCCACCAGGCCCTCGCGGTTTTCCTGGACCAGGAGGTCCCAAGGGACCTCCCGGTAGAAAAGGAAGAAAAGGAACGAGAGGGCCCCCGGGTCCTCAAGGGAAGCGCGGAGTTCAAGGACTTTCAGGACCCCCTGGAAAAACAACAACTTCAAAGAGGGGAAGCGATGGACCCCAATTAGGTAAGATTTTCGTATGTTTGACGTAATCATTTAATCTTCAGTTACCTTATTTACTTACCTTTCAAATCGCATATCGAGTTATTAGTACAGGCGAAAGCATGAGATGAAGCAACTCTTGCTTTTTGAGTGCTTTACAAACTTACCATATGTATCTATCTCGAGGTAGGCTTGTGGTTATCATTACTGATAAGACATTGACAATTTTTTTTTTAATTCACGCATTAATTGCTCCCAGGAGGGGCTCACTCCTTGCCAGATAAGGTCAAATGGTGTTTGATTGGGTCAACCAACCAGAACACTAGAAATACAAATTATAAGCAAAAATAAGAATTTGACATAATGATGATGACTAAGATAGTGCAATGGGGATTGGAAAGGACTGGCGCGCGCGCTTAGTTAGAAAGGAAGTTCGTTGACATTCAATCATTGTGGTTGGATCCTGCAAGACTTTATCCACTCGATTGGTGTCTCTTGAAGATAAAACCAAACGCCTAACGTGATAATGTAAACTTCATGAAACTTTACATCACCTCAACCATTCAATACGATCATGAATCTTCATCAAGTGAAGATGTATTTTCAAAAATTTAACGAAGTAAACTTTTTGTGTTGATAATTATTACATATGCTATGAGAGGTGCTGGTGTAAAGTGGTCTTTCAATAAACTTTAAATTAAAAATCATTTACCCCGTCTTTCAGAAAAACCACATTTCATCACAAAACTTTCCTCTTTGACGGTTAAGGAAAAGCAAAATGTGATATTATCCTGTACGGCAGCTGGGTTTCCAAATCCCAAAATAACGTGGTATAAAAATGGACGGGCGATTGAGCACGAGAGGAAACAATTCGAAGAAGGAAAACTGGAATTAAGAAATATCCTTTTTGAAGATCGCGGTCTTTATACCTGCACCGCGGAGAATATATTGGGTAGAATCACAACATCTTCAAATGTCACAGTACAAGGTATGTTGGATGATTAACTTACACTTCAATTCATTCGCAAATAGATATTAAACTTAGAATGTAATGTTGTGTTCGATGCGTTCTGAAAAAGCAGTCTCCCACCAGATATATAAACACATGTTCGACACGAGCCTGTACGCGAACGATCAATTAGTTTACAGGGTGAATCACAGCGCTGAAACTGCACTTCTGAAAGTTAAGAATGACACCCTGCTCAATATGAATAGACAGCATGTAACTCTTCTACTGCTACTCGATCTTAGTGCTGCTTTCGATACAGTCGAGCACAATATCTTGCTGGAGGTGCTCAATACGCTGGGACTTGGAGGCAGGATGTCCGATTGGTTTCGATCGTATTTATCAGCGCACAGTCAGAGGATATCAGTTCATGGGTGTCTGTGGGAGAAGTTTGATTTAGACTGTGGAATTCCTCAAGGCTCCTGTTTAGGATCGCTCTTGTTTACCATCTATACGAGCTCGTTACTAGATGTCTTCGAAATTATCTTCCATCTGTCCATTGCTACACAGATCATACGCAACTTTACGTTTCTTTTATTAAGGCGATCAAGCTTTGAATTAGTGAGAATCAACTATTGCTGGACGAAGAAAAAACTGAGTTTCTTTTAATTGGCACGAAGCAGCAGCTCTCCAAAGTTAATGTTGGACACATTAAGGTTGGCAAAGTAAATATAGCTCCGCATTCTACTGTTTAAAACCTTGGAGTCTGGTTTGACTCAAACCTGTCTATGGTTGATCATATCACCAAGACTCGTTCTGCGGCGTGTTAGTATCTTTATAACACTAGAAGAATTAGAAAGTATCTAACTAAAGGATGCAGGGAGACACTTATACATGCCTTTATATGATCTACCCACCTGGACTATTGTAACAGCCTTCTATTTGGAGCTCCTTAATGTCATCTACATAAATTACAGAGAGTACAGAATGCAGCTGCACACTTCATATTCCAGTCGCGCAGATTTTGTGACATCACACCTCTACTCAAGTCATTACACTGGCTTCCTATATAATATCGCATTGCTTTTAATATTTTATTAATCACTCTTAAAGCAGTGGTTTTTTCTCGGCTTACATAATTGAGCTGATTTCTGTCAGAAACACCGGAAGATATGATTTACCTTCCAGTGACGGCTTACTCCTTCCTCCTTGCAAAAGCAAAACACTTGTTACGCCCAGTGATCGTTTTTCTCATGCAGCCGCTCCTAAATTGTGGAACGATCTTCCGTATTCTATCATATATATCCAATCTTAAAAAAGGTCTAAAAAAAAAGCCTTAAAGGCTTTCTTATTGGCAAAAGATTTTTAATTCTTTTTTTGTAGTCTTACGTTTCTATATCTTCTTAGTGAACATTCTTAATTTTAGCTTTACTATCTATGTAGAGTTGATTTTTTAACATCGTAATGCGCAATTGAATATTTTTATATTGATAACTGTTCAATATAAGTCAATAGATATTAACTATTATTATTAATATTATTATTATTCATGACAAATCATCTGTCTTTGGTTAGTTTTCGATAAGGGTTGGTTTGCCTCATCGTGATGTCAAGTTACTCAGGAGTGATTGAAGAATGTCCAAATTAATTAGATTATTCTCGTAAAACTGAAGAACAAAAGCGTGTGAAAAAATATGGGAAAATCGCCTCCCGTTGATTGCTATTTCTAAATCTGCAGGGCTTTTTGTGTATCTTTTGTTGTATTTCTTTTGTTTTACTTGTATGTCTTTTTTTTTTAGTGATTTAGAGGTTTTGAAATATATAATAACTTTCTTGCGTTTATTTGCTTTGCAACTAGTACCAACAAAATTCGTGATTAAACCAGAGATATCAGTGACAGCTTACACAACATGGGACTTTACTCTAACATGCGACATATTTGGCTACCCTACCCCTGTAGTAACGTGGACACGAACGCAGAGTGAACTTCCTGTCACTAGACATGTCATTTCTAGCAACAAGCTGACTATTCTTAACGCGACAAAAAACGATTTTGGTGCCTATCTTTGCCAAGGGCGGAATCCGTTACAAAGTGTGATAGGAGTGATATGGGTCGTAGTTAAAGATCCAGGTAAACAATTTAAAGGTCATTCACCTTTCGCTTTTCTGTATAGTTTTAGATTTTTTTAGATTCGTCAGATTATTAGATTTTGAATCTATTGAGATTTTAATGTGCTCAAAGAAAGATACAAACACCAAACCCCATGTATAATTATTGATAGAATTGTTGTGAATATCATTTTTAGCATTTTGATAGATCAAATAAACAATCTAAAGAACACCAAATGTTCATTGTTACTAGGAACTCTTTTGCATATGGTTTTGTCAGAACAGTAGATCACAGCCCCGAGCCTCGCTTTCAAGGTGCACACTGAGATATCTTTAATAACTAAAAGTAGTCCAGGGTATTCGGATAAAAAGAATATACACTTGGAAAGAACAGTGTTATTTTTATTAGTAGTATTATCATTATTACCATTATTATTATTATTATTATTATTATCGTCATAATTATGATTATTATCCTCCTCATCATCATCGTCATCGTAATAACTATTAATATTAGTATTATTGCTATCATTATCAGTGTTATCATCATTATTATTATCATTGTTATCATTATCGTCATTATCAATTAAACAGCTCTCAGGTACTTTGGTCATTAATTTTTCCATCACATTAAAGTACTGACGTCCCATTTTCTCATTTTATTCAATACGATTGACCTCAATTTGTTTTATTTTCCATTTGATTTTATTGTCATCAGATTCGAAATTCATCCACTGTCTCCTTGTACAGGCTTTTATGATCGGGTATTTTACAGCGGTTAACTAGTTGGGGCCCAATTATTCATAACGATCATTGATTCCGATGGGCAACAGAAAGCTGTGACAAATAAACGGCCTGTTCTTACTATCTGTTCTTTTAGTGAATCCTTACATTGTGTCAAGTCCTGCAAGTAAAATACAGGTTCAGCATGTTGGTGAATCTGTCAACTTAAGTTGTTCCGCGGGTGGTACACCTTTACCGAAAATCCAGTGGATCAAGGATGGACGTCGAGTAATATCACTAGCAGAACATGACAGGAATGGTTTGAGATGGGGTGAGCTCGTCATTCATCAGTTAAGGCCGAACGATGCTGGGAACTACACATGTCTATTTTTTAATGAAAAGAATGCTACAGCCGAAGCCAATACAGTTTTGGGTAAGTAATGAAAATATTTTTACTATAAATATTCCGTACTAGAAACGTGATAGCTTTCTTTTGGTACGAAGTGTCCTCCGATCTTTTTTGCGCTCATTATCTGTTCCGGCAAGGAATCAAACTTCCAAGTGCGAAGCTCGAGAAGAGCTGTTAGAGCGAACGATTGAGTCAACGATTCTTCTTTGTCTTTACAGTCTTAAACAATTGTGACAATCCTGGTTCACCGACTAATGGACAAAAGCATGGCTCGCGCTACTGGACAGGAGAACGTGTTTCCTTCACATGCATGCCGGGATATCGGCTCATTGGGCCGTCCGTGAGATTATGTCTTCCTTCCGGTCAATGGAGTGGAGTACAACCTTCATGTAAGTGCTGCTATCCACCTGTACTATGTAGCATTTTATAACGCTCTAGCTACAAGCTGTCAAAATCACGCATTAATGGTACACTTTACGGCCCATTTTTTTGGTTTTCTTGTAGGTCACAGAGTTTGTCCTCCACTGAATAAACTGGAAAATGGCTTTCCTCATGGACAGCAAAACTGGGAAGGGGAACGCATTTCATTCAGTTGTAAGCCAGGTTACTGGCTAAGGGGACCATCAGAACGTCACTGCTTGGGTAACGGGTCATGGACAGGAGAGATGCCAAGTTGCATATTTGGTGAGACATTCTATGGATAAATAGCAAGCAGCTGTTGTGTTTAATCAATTCATTTATTTCTCTACTGATCATTCATCTCAAGGAGAAAAAGAACTTCAAGATTTCACTCTTCTTTGATCTTAGTGGATCCTGGCAATACCTACGCTCTGTATTTCCCTCGAAAAGGAACCAGCGATTATGTTATCTCAACAAAAATGCCTAGCCTTGATGCTGTGACAGTTTGTTTGTGGATGAAAACAACTGCAGGAAACGAAGGATGCCCGCTGAGCTACGCCATTTCTTCCCAATACAACGAACTGATTCTACATGACTATAGGAGTTTTCATATCTGGGTAGGAGGCTCAAACAGGTAAAGGCAATGTCATTTGATACTGGAAGTTTGGTTCAAATACCTAGAATTAAATCTCTTATTACATCCATTTTGAAATCACTGGTGGTCCCTGTAATCTGATTGGCTCGAATTGGTGCAATTTATTCACGAATCGCACCATTTTTTGCTCTAAATCGCATCCATTTCCGCTAGAGTGACTTTTTGACACATGACGTCAGTCTTTCAGTTTTGCATACAAAATAAGATGTAAGAGCGTTTCCGGTTCCGCTTTTTATGTAAAAGCCAGTTCAGTACTCCATCAATAAAATATTTGAATTGGCCAAGTCTTGTCTTTGAGCGATTTCAAAATGGATGTATTAAAGTGGTAATTGAACCTCGTGTCGTGCAATTTTGGTCTGAAATCATACTTGTGATTTCAAATCGAACTCGCACTGCGCGCTCGTTCGATTTTGAAATCCTGCGTATCATTTCAGCCCAAATTGCACTCCACTTAGTTCAATTACCATTATTAAGCAGATGCGGTATATGCAACACTTAGAAGTTCACCGCTTAACAGCTTAACAGCACATACAGGTTATGTTGATAATGTGAGCTTGAGTTCGTACGCCATTTACCTCCAGTACGATATTAAGAACTTGTTAAAAAAGTGTTAGAAGAAAATTTTTGTCATGTCAATCAGTGACAATTGTTCATCCTTGCTTCTCTTCAGTCATACGTCTGTATCAGCAAATGATGGAGACTGGCATCACATTTGCATAACATGGGAGAATATTGCTGGATCGTGGCAATTGTTCAAGGATGGTCGAATTGCCGCTTCAGGTCGCGGCCTGGCGAAAGGTAAACACCTCTCCCGTTACTGAGTAAAACTTACCTATTAGCGCTGGTTCTTCGAACACCTCTTAGATTCAGCCCCGCTGCTTTTGTCTTTTTGTTTTCTAAAAGCGTGGCATTAGTTCGAAACAACGAGGTATTGGTTCCCTTGAATGAAAGCCTTAGTCGGTCATCTCTCTAATTTCTTTACACAAGGTCACTGGATCCGCGGAGCTGGGCTACTGCTATTAGGACAAGAGCAAGACTCACTGGGAGGAAGTTTTGACGCACAGCAAAGTTTCATCGGTGAACTGACAGGTGTCAACGTCTGGGGTCACGTGTTAAGAGGTGATGAAATCACGCGCATGTCTAGGGTGTGCCTGACAGGGGATGGGGACATAATTCAATGGCGAAACTTTAAAGCTAATGTGCGAGGCTCAGTGCACTCAATTGACCCTTCCTGCTAAAGTTCAAAATCCAAAGGAGATGAAAAGTATACTGGCGAAACGTCCGTCGCGATCCGCATCAAAAATAACTCCAATGTTTACATAACACAGTTAGCTAATTAGATTCTCTTTAAATTAATCACATTTTCATAAAATAAAATACAATTATAAAAGAATCAAACCACAAAGAAGCAACTGATAGAACACAGTCAAAGAAGGTAAAGTCCGTATCCGAGCCTATTGCCCCCTACCCACCCTCCAGACTGAGCTAATTCCGGTTTCCCTATGGCATGAAGCGTCTAGAAGTGTAGCTACTCTCCCCTGGATGAGATGCCAGTCCATCGCAAGTTCACGTTTCGCCGGTACCCATTTTTTTTCCCTGCGGGGGGTAGGGAGGCACTGAGAGTAAAGTTTCACGCCCAAGAACTCAACACAGTGACCTGGCCAGGTCTCGTAACCAGACCTCTCTAGTCCAGTGTGCTGACCATTAGGCCACTGTGTCTCCCACACGGTCAAAGCAGGACGTGATTAATACTGAGAGAAGCAGTAGTGCTCTTTAAAATAGTGTGCAATATACTCCCAAAACTTTGCTTTATAGCGGAAATGTATGTGGAGCGTTTTTATTAGGCTTGTGATGATAGTGAATGTAAATTTTTATGATTTTTGTTACTATTATTATTTTCCCCTGCATATGACCGAATATACTTAAAGTAATAAAAAAATGTTTGACCTATATTAATGGAAATTGAACTTAATTATTTCTTTTCTTTTGCTGTCCTTCTTTTTGTCTTTGTTATGTTTTTGTCCACTCAGACCTTTGCCATTTCGTGCTAGGTTTTACTCACCTATACATTTGCAGAACAAAAATCAACGGGCAGCCCCTGGGCTTATGGGCCGGGTGGAATTCCACCCATAATTTCTTTGGCTTAAACAAGTATTCGTCTATTATGACTCCTTCCAAACTTAATGAGTGGGACGTTGAAATGTTAAAAAAAATCATGGACCGACCAGTTTGGTGAGTGACATTTGAATATAAGTCACACAACCCTCATTTAAAATTTCAAGTTTTACCGTCGAAAACGCGTGTAAGCTTTGTCTCCGTTCTGAAAATGATGTTAGAGAAGATCTGTAATGATCAAAACTCCGCTGATGGGATGGACAGAGGAGAAGAAAGTGATCTGATTGGACCGGCAGCGAGAAAATGAGAGGTGGGGCATCGAGGTGATATCACTGGCTCCAGTAACCAATCATAACTCGAGAACCGATCCCAAATAAAGCTTTTGTACTCCTTATGATTACGTGCGACTTAGCCTGCATATTGATAGATAAAAGTTGATATTGAAGTTCATTCTTTCGTCGTATGATCCATTTTCTTTAACATAAATCTTATAGAAACGTTGCAAAGTTGTACATGAATTTTTAAGAAGCAGTCCTAAGGGAACCATTTGTTGTAATTACGAGTTTTATATAGAAGCGATGAGCCTCATATGCGCAATAGTTCTCAAAGGTCATTTCACTGTCCTCTAGGTGAGTGATACTTCTTGATTTTCTCACTTTGCGCTTTCTATCCATAGATAAACGATCACGGCTGTTAGCCTTGGTTTAGTATGCCGTAGGGTGGCATGCCATAAGTGAGGACGAAGTCACTGGTATCCTTTTGGTAAAAGCAAAACTTTTCTTTAAAATAACGAGATGAAAAAAAAAATGTGTAAGGATGGTTTATGTACTCCTTTACTGCGTTGTCTGTTTCACTACTTTTTTTTCTGAAAAATTATCGGCATGCTTAGAGAAAAGGTTAACCACATAAGCGTTACCTTTACGTAAACGCTACCCCGGTACTCTTCTTCCTCTACCTCGTCTCCATGCGCTGACCCAAGGCCTGAACCAACCTATCAAAAAGAACACAAAACCTTTATTAGGACTCCCCAATGTAGATTTTCTGGCCTAATTACATATAAAACAATGATTTAAAAAGATTAACGAAAAATATATGAACTTCATATATTCATTGCATCTCATTAACGAAAAAGATACTAAACTTTACATGACCTGTGTAGAAAGTATGATAAGCAAGATGTCAACTGCCTGTCTCTAATTCTAAATGTATGAGATACCGGAAGAAGCTTTGCAGTTTATTATAAAATTTAATTGACATGAATAGGTGTTGATCTAACAGGTCAACATCATGTGACAATACAACTGCTGGCAGAAACTCAGAACGGAAGTCAACAAAGTTTCTATTTCAACGAGAGAGGTTGTCAAACATGGAGACCAAAATAGTGAAACGCTCGAACGTTCTCCTTTATGGATTTTCATTCCATTTGATTCTTACCTCGGGTTCACTTGGTTTTACATGTTACTCA